TTTTTTTTTTTTTTTTTTTTTCCTCTTTTTTTTTTTTTTTTTTTTTTTTTTTTTTTTTTTTTTTTTTTTTTTTTTTTTTTTTGGTTTGTTTAGTCCTTGGTACTAACTTTTGTGTTTCTTCTTTTTTAAGTTCTTTAGGCTCATGATCTATCAATCGGAAATGAATGATTTTTATACCGTTCGATTCATTTTGAAGAGACGAATCGAATCGTATTAAAATCATTAAATTTAAATTGATAGGTTATGAGTTGTTGCTATTTAAATGCTGCGAAAGTAAGCGGGTATTGTGGTGAGTTTATAATATCCTGTAAACCAAGGATCTAAATCAACTGATTTTTATACCATTCAATTCGCGAATCGAATGGTATAAAAATCGGTTCTGGGACAACTGATAAAATTTTGATTGCTGAATTCGATAAGTTATTGATTTCAGTTGATAAGTTATTTATTTCGACCGAAATTAGTAACTTATCGAATTTGGCGATCAAAATTTTATCAGTTGTCCCAAAATTTATGAGAATAGCTGTAAACCCTCCGAAATAACTAACTTTTTATTAAGATGGACAATTTAGACACACATGTATACTTGTGATCCATGGATCCAAATCGAACAACTTTTATACCATTCGATTCGTCATGATGAAACTAATTGAATGGTATAAAATCAGTTGATTCTAATCGTCGGATCACGAGTTATAATAAATTCGCTACGATAATACCTTTACTTATATTTTTTGATTTTTTTCAGTTTTGTTTAATTTACTCGGGAAGTATTGAGATATTTAGTAACTGATTTTATCAGGTGAATAGTCGGAATTTTACTCATCGCAGTGTGATCGTACTGGTTCTGTGCTGCATCACACACTGCGCGGCTACCCTAATATTAAAAGAGTATGAATAGATTTTAGCAGGGTTTATGGTATCCTCCACAATTATTTTATTATTGTTTTTTTTGTTTTTTGGTAATAATTTGTCATAAACAATTATATATTTTTAATGATACAGTAGTGCGACGTTAGGGTATATGATGCTGTATACATAGGGTTGTGAAATTACTGTAATTTACGTAATTCTGTGTAATTTTTCTTAAGATTCGGTAAATTGTAAATTTAATCACATGATATGTGAAGTTTATTATATAAGATTACTGCGCTTTTCAAATTACTGTGTTCATCAGATGATCGCCCATCACACAAAAATCAGGAAATTTTTTTTAAATTCTTATTTTTTTACAAATTTCTACTTAAAAAATAACAATTCCAAAAATTCCCCATTACATTTCAATTCTTTACTAAATCATCCGTTAGTAGTTTAATTTTTTTGGCGGCTGAACCAGGCTATAATAAAAATTTTCAACTTTTTTTTTGTTAATTTCATAGATTTTCAAATTTTTTATAATATCAAATTGTATACTAGATTTTTTAGTTTTTTAAACAAGTAATAATAAAATTTTCGGTTTTCTTTTTATTAATTAAGCAAGCAATGATAAATTTTTATTTTTATTTTTACAAAACTAATACTAATACATAATTTAGAATGCCACGTCCTTTAAGTGAAGACCTTAAGTGGCGCATAGTTTACTTGAACTATGATGGTTACTTAAAAAAAGACATTTCATCCACGTTATACATAAGCATATCATTGGTAAATAAAGTTTTGAGAATCTACCAAAAATGGGGTACAGTCATTCATCCGTGGCATCAAATTCCTAGGCCTCAAAAAACTTTTGATAGAAATGACATGAATGTATATATGGTTTTATTTGTTTTATATATAATAATTATGATAGATATTTATTTTTAATAAATTTTTATAATTTAGATTTTGCAACAGATTGTCAGGAAAAAGGTCAATTTGTATTTGGATGAGCTTGTTTGTGAGATGAAACATTGTACTAGAAAGTCTGTATCAATTCTGACGCTATGGAGATCTTTGGCTTACTGTGGCATCACACGAAAAAAAGTTCTTTTTTTTTTTTTTTTTTTAAAAAAAAAAATTTTTAATATTTTATAATATATATATATATTTATTGAATAGCTTCAAAAAGATGCCAAAGAATGAAATGAACTTCTGCGAAGTGCTTTTATGGCACATATTGGTGCCCAATATCGACCTGAACAATTAATCTTTTTAGAAGAAACTGCTAAAGATGAACGTACTATAACAAGAGGTTATAGGTATACAGAAATAGATACCCGAGCAAGAAAAAAAGTAATATTTGTACATGGAATAAGATATACAGTTTGTTCAGCTCTAACTCTACAAGGAATAATTGCTGCAGATATTGTAGAGGGCAATTATACGAAAATTAGATTTAAGAATTTTGTTATCAATCAAGTTGTATGTACAACTATACATATTTAAGAATTTTTTTTTACAGTAATTATTTACTAACCTTTTTTATAAATATAGTTACCACAAATGAATTTATATTCGCATAATAATAGTGTTTTAGTTATAGATAATGCACACATATATCATGATGATAGATCGTGTGAATATTTAGATGCATTTGGAGTATGTATAGAATTTCTTTCACCTTACTCACCTGACCTTAACCCAATAGAGTTAGCATTCTCTTCAATTAAAAGTTACTTGCAATGATATCGTTATTTTGTTGAAAATTTGTATGATCCAAAATATTCAGTATTAGTTGCCTGTACACAAATTACACCAGAGATAGCAAAAAGTTTTTTTGATGCTTCAGGATACAAATAATGATACTTGTTATAAAAGTAAACTTTTTTGATTTTTTTTTTTATTAGTGATTCAAGATAGGTTTAGAATACTATTATCTTTTTTTATTTTACCTTTCTTGTTTGCTATAATTTGATTGTTTGTACAAATAATTAGAATTTGTGAGAAAGTAATATATAGAAGGTATAGTCTTACTATAATTGATATCATAAAATTTAGCATAATATTTTTTGATAATGCTAAATTTTATCAAAGACATTCTTACAAGAAACTAAAATAATAAATTATGAAATTTTTAAAGTTAAGAATGTCATTAGACTATTAGGTAGTAAAAAGGTTTGAAGCAATTTCTGACTTACTAAATTAGTTCTGCAATATGATATAATATTACTGTATTATCAATAAATATAATAAAAAAGATACTCGAAATAAGGTCAAGCAAAAAGAATATACAATATATATAGAGCTGAATGAAGCCAATTATATGCAATTTCTAATATTTATTATATAACATATGTATTTTTACTTTATATTGTTTGCATATTAATTTTTTTTGCTATATATATATATTTTGTTATGCAATTATATAAATTTATCTTTATTCTGTATCTAGCATTTTACTAATGATTGTTACCTAATATATGCACTGTATAAATCACTTTGAAATATATTTTAAAAAAAAAATCTATTATCTTTCTCACTATTATAACCAAAAATTAGAAGCAATTTGTCTATCTTTTTGTAATTGATACTTTTCAGCATATTCACACAAAGTTTGTCATTCACCAATAGTTTCTACTCCACATAATGCAAATTCCTCATTAGTTAGTCTTCTTAATCACTTTACTACAATTCGTTGTATATTAAATTTTTCCAAAAAGCTTTGATAATGATTTCCAGTTTCTTCTCCTTCATCTACTTCTTTTAGAAATTCTGTTATAGTAGGTAAAGTAGTAGGTAAAGTAGAAGAGACATATGAGTTAAATTGAATAGCTTGAGACTGCATAGAAATATGAAGAAAACTTTAATATGGATTATATGAAGTTGGTTGATGTGATTGAAATGTTTGAGATCCAAGTGCCCAATTATATTGTGGTGGTAGTTGTGGTGATGGTAAAAATGGTGTTTGTTGTAATGGAAATGGTGATAAAATCAATTGAGAATGTCTTTGTAGTAATAGTTGTGATAATTGTACTTGTGATAGCAGTGGTGATTGTTGTACTTGTAGTAGCAATAGTTGTGTAAATTGTGCTTGTAGCTGTACTTGTGATAGTGGTAGTAATTGTTATGATAGTTGTATATGCAGTAGTAGTAGTTGCCTAAATTGTGCTTGTGGTAATTGTTGTGATAGTTGTATATCCAGTGGTGGTGGTTGTGCTTGTGGTGATAGTGAAGATGATAAAGCTAATGGCATTTGTGATAATATAGATGATAGTGATTGTAAATGAGATAGTAATTTTGAGCGTAGCTTTTTGGATAATAAACTAGCATAAGAAAAAAGAAGATGTGTTGGAGGATCTTCAACTATAACTAGTCCTTTATTCTAAAAATATATAAAAATAAAGATTAATCAATATGAATTGTTATATAATATTGTGATTATTGATATACTGATACCATTTCGGATGCTCAGATTGAAAGCATCATAAATGTAATCTCAACATGCAAATCTTTATGGTTTTCTTTATTAAGGCAGGGATGATTATGCATTCTACAGTGATACACATTTCTAATTGTTAACACAATTTTAGCAATTTCCTTATCATGTAAAGATAAAGATGAAACATTTGGAATTTGATTATTATTTTTGTAATTGGAGAGTCTTTCTTCATATTCACTTAAATCTGATTCCTACAAAATTTATACTCAATTAATTCATGTATATTATAAAAACTTGGTACTGAGTAGAATTCAAAAATAGAAATTATTACAATAATTAGTAATTATTTTCATTGTAATAATTTCTATTTTTGAATTCTACTACTATCTATGATACTAATGCTAACGCTAAATTATAATTATAGTAAAATTGTATTATAACAATGATTGATTGAATATGTAAATAGCTATAACTAGTATTGATTAAGATTTTATATATAATACAAGTATACATATGTACATACTTTTTTTTTGCTTATTTTGATAAACAGAAGGTTGTGCAATTGTAACATAAATTCCGATATCACTTTTTCTAGCAGCTAACTTAGTATATTCAGATTTGAACTTGATAAAATCTTGTTTATCGACCAACTGAGTACCAGCACCTGTTTCTCTTTGCATTTTGAATGTCACAGAGTAATCACTTAGCATAATAGTATTATTTTTTGTTACCAAGAGAATTTTGTTATAAATGAATGAAAGGAATTTATTGACTGTTGATACAGATTCTTTGAACCATTTAGCAGGTAATAAAATCCCATCTGCTGTCTTAACAAATAATTTATAATCTACTGCAAACTCAGATTCATCACTGCTCATTTCACTTTCGTTGATTCTATTTTCACTTGATGCAATAGATATTGATAGGGAAGGTGACCTAGTTATTTCCTATAAAATAAAAATAATATTAATGAATATAAATAATTATAATAAAAAGATTATATTAATATATACATTGTTATCAATTGTATTTTTTGTTGTTATATTAGTCATTTTTTTAGCCTTTTTGAGATTCAATTTCACCAAAATATTGCGGCATCGTCCACAAAAAGAAAACTGAAAGGATTTTTTCAAATTTAGTTGGTAACTATATTTCATAACTTTGTCATGAATATATTCAAACATGGACACCACTCAAGTAGGTTCATAGATGCGTGTATACGCTTGTTTCACTAAATCTGTTCTATTTTTTTTCATAGGTACTAGGGCTAATTTACATTTACAAATAGTATTTTGCAAATCAGTTGTGCAATACAAACACTTTCAGCACCCAAAACAGGTACCGCAGTAATATCTAAGTTTGGTATTGGCTGCATCTGCTATTATCGTTCATATATATTTGATTAATTTGGAAAAAAAAATACTATATTGTGAATTTTTTTTTTTATATTCTAAATTTGGATTCCAGATTTCCAGATTCCCATGTGGTGTGTGATGCATGAAAATTAATGAACACAGTAATTTGAAAAGCGCAGTAAATAAAATTGAACCTACAAAATTTTATAACATACTACTGTACTAAAATAGTTAAAAAAAAAGTTGAAATGTGAGAAAAGAATATTACAAATGCAAAGCATGTAGTAAGGAAGCAGCAAAAAATACAACAAAATTACAGGAACATTTGAATATATGTTTCTTGCAAAATTCAACAATAAATGAAAATTCAAATGTTAATAAGAAAATTTACTTGCTCATGTTTTTTCATTTTAGGAATTTTATTTAAGAATAAATGCATACAGTATATCGCACCAAGCTACACACTTATATCTCACATACCTATAGTAAACCATAATTTAGGTGTAACGTAAAATCAAAACAAAATGTTTTGTTTCGATTTATTTAGGGTTAGGCAAGTGCGATTTAGGGTTAGGGCGGCATAGTTTATATCAAAATTTTGCAAGGAATTTTTCTAGTTAGAACACGAAAGGTTGTTTTCTATGTAAAATTTTGAGTTATTGGAGATTTCTATTTTTTACGTTACACCTGATCTTGAAATTTGATTGGCAGGTGACAAATAAGTGTATCAGGTATCGCATGGTGCAAAATTAGCCAATTAAAACAAAGCGTAATAAATAAGAGAACCGCATCCATGCTAGATCTAGATTAATCCTTTATTTAATATAATTGAAAATCTAGAATTCTTTAAAAATGCTTGTCTTGCCTATTACACTTTGCTCTTTCTTGTTCTCTTAATAAAA